CTTCCTTCCTTCCTTCCTTCCTTCCTTCCTTCCTTCCTTCCTTCCTTCCTTTCTTTCTCTCTTTCTCTTTTTCTTTCTTTTTCTCCCTTGTCTTTCAAGGAGCTTTATGCAATGCCAGGCAAGTACTCTACCACTGAGTTCTATCCCCAGCCCTTTTTACTTTATTTTGAGACAGGGTATCACTAAATTGCCTAGGCTGTCTTCAAACTTGCCATCCTCCTGCCTCAGCCTCTGAGTAGCTGGGATTACAGGTTTGCCACACTGCACCCAGCTGAATATTAGTGATTCCAAAATGCTGTGAGCTTGGGACAGACGGAACCTGGAGGAGCTTGTGAAACCGGCATCTGGCCTGGAAGTGGGATGGAGCAGAGTGGAATTTGGGGATGAAAAGAAAGTTAAAAATATAGTACAAAAGAGGGGTGTTTTCCATCCATGGATGGGGGGTCCTGCAGTTTCTCTCTGGAGGTAACTAGGGATGGTCTTTTACTCAGGACAAGGTGATATCTTGATAAATCCATCATAAATTAAAAATATGGCAAACTTAGAATGCATTTCATCCCCTTAAACTACAGAACATCCTGGCTCAGCAACATAGCACCCTGTAGTGTGTCAGTAGTTCACCTTTGTGGTTGCCTGATTGATAAAGAACTGTGGCTTGCTACTGTGAGAGAAGATGGGACTGCTTATTACTAGCCTAGAAAAAGATCCAAATTCAAACTTGAAGTATGGTTTCTACTGACTACATACCCGCATTAAATTGAAAATTATAAGTTGGAAACCATCTGTAGTTTGAAGGGCACCCCACTTTCTAGGTGCCCGAGCTTCCAAGTGTCCAGTTGTGCCCTGTGTAGGGTTCTGTCTGCTCTCCAGTTGCTCAGGAACCCTTGAGCAACCAGTTAGTCCAACATTCTTCTGCCTTAAAGAGTGGCTGCAGTTGCTCCTGGAGGCCACAGGGAGTCACTGTTGGCAGACATCTGGCATTTCTGGCCGGTAAGGATGTTTGGCAGCTGACCTTGGAAGTCTGTGAGTTGGGGCTTAGGGCCCCTTTTCTAGGCATACCTTAGCTGTGGGAAAACTTCACTTGCTTTTCGAGAGGTTCACCTCTCAGTCTTTATCATCTTTAGTACCAAACCTGCTAATTCCTGCAGGTGACTGGGACTCTACCAGGCTGAGTCTCCAGAGGCCTGTGTGTATACCTTGCCACCTATTCTTACTTCCCTGTGCTTGGGAAACCTCACCTTTACACAAGTTTTCATTTTCCCCCATTCCCCGACAGGAGCCTCTGACTCCACCCAGCTCCCTGCCGTAAGCCACCCCCTCAACTTCCACCTAGGGGTAAACTCTTCCTAGAGGATGTGTACCAGTCCCCTTGTCTCAGCCTACATAACAGTAAACACTAGATGACATTTAGTGAAGTTCTACCTTGTGCCAGGTGCTGTGCAGATTTCTTCCATATTTCATTTACATCTCAGTGGGGCCTATGAGGACCCCATTTTATAGATGAATAAATAAAGTGTAGCTATGGTAATTTGGGTTGCCCACGACCACATAGAGCAGTTTCCAAACATATCTATACACACACAAACACAATTTAAATCTCTGTCGCTGCCTTTGCTATATTATTGGATTACTCATTAGTTTTTGGTGACAATCTACTCTTCACTACAAATTGACATTGCTCTGAAGCATCTGGTTCCTCTGTAGGATGTAACTGGATCAAATGAACTTGGAAGGGAGACACAGGTTCCTTTCTCACTGTGCAGGGGAGGGGAATGGGCATGACCCTGGGAACCAGGGGGCAAATCCACTGAAGAGGGGTTTTATGAGGGGCAGAGACTCAGGATTTTCTAGAACCAAGTGCCTCCTGGGCCTTTCCTCTCAGACTTCCTCCTCATGTCTAAAGCTCACCCCTACCCCACCTGCTCATCCCTGGTTGTCCAAGGTAGAAACTTGGTCGACTCTGCTCTCTGCCTATTGCTCACTACCAATCTAAAACCTTCCAGGGTTCTGAGTGTTCTACTTGTTAATTTCTCTGAGTTTTCATCCCGATTGCCCTGGCCATTTTCCTGAGACCATCTAAGTCCCACTGCGGCCTGACTGAATTTCTGTTTTCTAAGTCTTTAGTTTTGTTCCTGTGTAATTTATTACCAACGCGGTAGCCCAATCAGTCTTTTAAAAGTGCAACTAGCATCCTTCTTTCCTGTTTGAAACCTTCCAGTGACTTACAATCACCTTTTGGTAAAGGATTAGAACTCATTAGCCATAAGCTATTGATCTCCCAAATGGCCTTTTCTGTTTCTTCAGCCTTGTCACTTGTCCCCTCCCTCTGAGCACTTCCCTCTGTCCATGCTCCGCTCCCTCTTGCCTCTGGATCTCTGCACATGATCTTCCTCTGCTTAGGCTGTCCTTCCTCTGGCCTCTGTTGGTTGAGTCCTGTGTGTCCACCGGACATCAGCTTAGATGTTTCCCCTTCAGGGGATGTCGCTGGCTGGCTGGGGTTTCCCTCCTCTGGAGCCCCAGCACCTGTGCACACCTCCACCACAATTCCATTCACTGCTCACAGATGTGTTTCTCCTGTGAGACAGTAAGTCCTCTCAGGGCAAGACATGCCCTACCACAGGCCCAGCCGCCCGCTGATAATGGTGATCTTCATCTAGAGACCCACTCATTAAGATGCTGAACTTCCATTTGTCAGAAAATTGTTAGAACCACTGTACACTTCTATGGTGACCATGCTGTGAATGTGCCCCCGGGAGCTGTATAGTGCTCCGTTTGCAGTAAAAGCAGTGTCCCTATACAGCATGGAATAGGCACCGAGTAGGCCTAAGACACGTGCTGAATAAATGCAGACACCTTGCCTGTTGTTGAAATAGGTAAAAATCCTTTCTCTCTCAACAACTAGCCTGGTTGTAGTTATGGAGCTGTTTAACTGCTCCTGGAGATTCTGTCAAGAGGGAAAACAACTGCTGTGTCAGAAAACTGAGCGGGAACCCTGAGCACAGATAAGGGCATGATTCTAGAGTAAACTAGCTATTTGGCAGTCCTTGGATGAGGATGCTACTGGCTCCATTCTTTAGGGAGGGAAAACTAAGACCCAGAGAGATGAGAAGTTGTCCCAAGCCAAACAGGGAGCCAGGAGCAAAACCCCTGTCTGTTAATCACTTGAGTGTCACTGTGTCTCTCTGCAACTTCCAGAAGTCCTTGTAGGGCATGAGCTTCTAATGTTTAGTTTGCCGTTTAGTTTGTAATGCAGTGCAAAGCCTGTCCCAGGGCATCTTGATCTTGTCTGAACCTCCTCCCGACAATGCAAGGCAGGTTTCATGGTGTTCTTACTATCTGAAACTTACAGAGGAGTCAATGGGACCCCAAACACAGCTTTTCTTCCTGGAATGGCCTTTTCCTCTTCCTTTCTCTGGAAAACTCCTCTTGATCTTTCCAGACAGTCTTAGTTCATTTTCTGTTGCTATAATAGAATAGCTGAGACTAAGTAACTCATAAAGTAAAAAGGTTTATTTATTTATTTTTTCTCATGGTTCTGGAAGTGCAAAAGCAAGGGAGAGAGGGAGGGAACAAGGGAGTAGACCTACTTTATAACAACCTTCGGATAATCTATCCCATAGAAACTAGCCCACTACAGAAAAAAATCTTAGTACCTCTTAAGGCTTCACCTCCCAACACCACTACCTGGCAACCAAATTTCAACATGAGTTTTGATGGGAACAAACTACATCTACCTTATAGCATAGCCCAGTTCAATTCTCCCCTCTGTTATGGTTCTAGCTCCCTAGCAGGTTGTGAGGGCTGCAGACCCTACATGCTGACAGTACTTTATTGTTCCTCTTTTAAATGATGCTCACGACCTGCTTCTGCTTCATTAAGGTGGAGGTATTTACTTATCTTGTTTTCCTACCCTGGCCTAGAGAGCTTTGAAATAAGGGTCTCTTTGTTATCTCTTTATCCAGCTCAAGGCCAAATACAAAGTTAAAAACTTAATCAGGTGCATTCAGGCATCCAAAAATGTGTATTGCTTGCCAACTCTTTCCAGACACTGGAATCCAATAATGGGCAGATCAAAGAAAATTCCCTACCTTCCCTCATAGAGCTCACAGCCAAGTGGATATTCTGTATGTGACTTCCATGAGGGGTACTTCTATAAACACTTTCTTAAAGATATGAAAGGGCAACTTACTTTGTATCCTCCAAATACTAATAAAAATGCAGTTTTTGATAGGTGGTGGGTTGTTGCTATGTGACTGTTGAATGGAGGTGGAGGACAAGTGGATTACAAGTATCATTTTCCTCCAAGAGGGGAAGGTAAACTGCTGGATCAGGACAATGACTAGCCTTGCACAATTAGAAGACCAAAGCTAGCTTTGGGGTTTTCTAACAAAGAACTTATGGATTTGAGTGGCAGATAGGGGTGTGACAAGATGCAATTAAACCACAAAATAACTCATTTTAATGGCAGGCCTTGACTTCAATAGACTTTTTCTTTTTCCTTCATTTCCTCAGTCTAGACTTTTCTGGGTTTTTGAAGCAGCAATATACTGGCCTTTTCAAGGCCCTTTGGCTGTGACAGGGCTCTACCTTGAGGAACATGAAAAAGTAGAAAGCCAAAAAGAAGGGTGTCTTGGAGTCTATAAATACCTTCATGTATTTATACATGAAGAGTGAAAGTTATCAAAAGATTCTGCCTTTCCTCCATGCTTTTAGGGCTAAGCCTGCCCTACTATTTCCAGAGGCTCCAAACCTCCCTGTAGCACAAATAGGTCTGGTGGCCAGCTTCTAGAGAATCCACCTGTATGTGCACAGTGTTATAGCCTGGGCCATAGGTGAAGACCAATATACCATCTCCCCCTTTTCAGTGCGCAGGTCCAAGGCAGCTGATGAGGAGAGGAGCCGCGGGGCCCAGCGTGCCAGAGATGAGTACCGGCGCCACTCACTCCGTGCTATCCAGAAGGGTACAGTTGCTGGCCTTAGCTCCATGTTCCAGGAGCTCGGCCAGAACCATGAGCAGGAATCTAGACTCTACCACCATCTTCCTGGTCCTGGTCCACCACCACCCCTCGCTGTGCCTGTGAGGTGAGTCGGGGCTCCACCTTGACATTTGTGGGGTTGTGGGGAGAGCGTTGAACTGGGGCATGCCACACCTAGTTCCATTCTGGGCTCTGCCCCTGACCTGCTAGTTATTTCCCCTCTGTGTGCCTAGTCTGTGTTCGGTGTGGAAGAAGATGCAGTAGGATGCGGTTTGGAAATTTCTAATAATTTAGAGTCCTTTGAGTCCCTTTGACAATCTGAAGAAAGCTGGATACCTTCTTCCCCTCAAAATGTGCATATATACATACCTCAAAATGCACACAATTCTTAATTCCTAAAGAGCCATGGGCCCTAGTCAGCAAGTTATAATGAAAGGCCTCAGATTGGTGTAATAAGGCCCAACAACCCAGAATCCAGGGTTTGGGCCTTTTCTACATACCAATGATGCTGGTTTATCCTGTTTGAATAGCAGATTTTCATATTAGGTGTGGCTGAGTACAGGAGGATCCTCATATATCTTTGTGTCCCCAGGAGGTTTGTTCAGCAAGGACTGCCCATGATTGCCAGGACTAAAGGTCAAGAGGTTGTGGTGGGCCTCTGAACCTTCCACTTTTCCCCACTGAAGGCCAGCCCTGGAGTTTGGCTCCTCTTAGACCCCATTTCACATGATTGCATTCATATTCAGGGGAATTAAAAACAAACAACAACAACAACAACAACAAACAGGCAGGGCCCAGAGGTGGGTGGTGAGCACCTGCTGCTCCTTTTACTACAAGGAATACTTGGAAGTCAGTTCACCACCAGAGAATGGGGGTGGTATGAATTGTGCTTTAAATTGGAGTTTGAGATTATTCATAACCTCCTGTTTCCTTCCCCTGCAGTCCAGGGAGAGCTGACCAGGTCTCCAGTTCTTCCCTCCTTCTCTCCTCACTCCTTTCTTTTCTTGTCATGTAAGGTTCTCAAACCAGAAAGTTTAATAAGGTAGACTGCACCAAGAAGAATCTGACTGCCTCCTCTGCATTCCATCTGCTGAAGTCCCTCTTCCCCACAGGTCATTACGGCTCTTTAGTGTCCTATGTGCCCACCCAGCTTCTCTTTAGAGTCACCAACATGAAAAGTCTTATTCCCACCCCCACCCGCTTCTAATAGCTACCCAGTATTCTACTGCATGGATGTGCTGTAATTTATTTATCAAAAACTCTATTAGTGGACATTAGTGTTGTTTCAAATCTTTGGTTATAACCAACAGTGCCCCGAATGAATGACAGAATGATAGAAATTATATGTATGCAATCATTATCTGAAAGAGGAATTCTCAAAAGTGGGGTCACTGGGTCAAGGTCTAAGTGCATTAACAATTCAGCTTGCCCTCCTCAAGACTGGTACCAATTCACACTCTTCTTTTTTTAAATTTTACTTTTTATTCTAATTTGTTATATATGACAGCGGAATGCATTACATTTCATATTACACATACAGATCACCATTTTCCGTATCTCTGGTTGTACACAAAGTATATTCACACCATTCGTTTTCTTCATACTTGTACTTAGGGTAATGATGTCCATCTCATTCCACTGTCTTTCCTACCACCATGCCCTCTCCCTTCCTCTCCCACCCCATTGCCGTAACTACAGTTTGTCTATTCCTCTCTTGCTCCCTGCCCCAACCCCACTATGAATCAGCCTCCTTATATCAGCACACTCTTATTCTTTAGCCCGGCCAACAGTGCTTTGTCAAACTAACTTTTTTTTTTTTTAATCAATTTCTAGGAACTCTTTACATGTTAGGGAAAAGGATTCTTTGTTTGTGATAAGTATTTTTTTTCTCTGCTTGTCATTGATCTTTTGATGTTTGTGATGGAATTTTCCATCATGTAGAAATTCTTGATTTTTCCTGAGGTTTAATTTTGTTATGTTTTCTGAATAGTTAGAAAATCTCACTTCTACTTTTGTGTGTGTGTGTGTGTGTGTGTGTGTGTGTGTGTGTGTGTGTGTGTGTTTTAAGAAACCCATAATTTGCCCAGATGATAGAACCATATGAACTATGGTGCAACTTGGCTCCAGGTTGGCTGTGTGGTCAATAGGGAAGGGGTGGCCCTGCAGCAGGCCTTGAGGGGGTCAAGATGCCAGGTAATTGGAGCAACAGGACTAGGCACACAGAGAGGTGTACATCTGTCCTCCCAGCACCACTGCCCTCGGTTTGATGGTGCTGGCCCTGCCCAGCACCTCTTTGTCTGTCTGTGCTAAGGGGTAGACCCACATTACTAAGGAGGAGAGTCACAGGTGCAGAAATGAAGCTTCTGGCCAGGTGGCCCCATTGGAGCACTTGTCCTAGCATTTATATTCTGGGGAATCAAATTCCCTGCTTAGAAATTCTCTGTTTAGAGTTGAGTGTGGTGGCGCATGCCTGTTATCCTAGCAATTCTGCAGAGAGGTTGAGGTAGGAGAATCACATGTTTGAGGCCAGCCTGGGTAGCTTAGCAAGACCCTGTCCAGCCTTTAAAATGAAAAAAAAAAAAAAGGGCTGGGAATGTAGCTTAGATGTAAATGTAAAAGGGCTGGTAGAGCATGCATTTAGCACATGCAAGGCGTTGGGTTCAATCCCCAGCACTACAAAAAACATAAATAAAAATCAAAACTCTATGTAGAAACAATTCATTTTTACTGCTTAGAAACAGAAGGACAAGAGGGAGTGCATTTTTTTCTTTTTTGCTGTTATTTTTAACCTTCCTATTACCTTCTAAGGAGACAGAGTCCTAGAGACTAAGGATTCTTTCCTCTGACACAGTTATTTGGGGGGGAATACAAATGTAGAGGAAGAGGCTGGACTGCCCTGTGTTGCTTAGTTGAGAGGAATGGCACCGGAGGGTACTGAGAAGGAGGGGACCTTCCCATGGGAGGACAGAGTAGAGAGCAGGACTGGCTCCGGGGTGGAGAGGTGGAGAAGCAGAGCCTGGACAGACACACTGGCTACAAGCTGTGAAATGTAACTTCATCCTTTGTCTTTCTTCTAGAATCTTTTCTGAACTCTACAGTGTTCAGTGTGTGTGTGTGTGTGTGTGTGTGTGTGTGTGTGTGTGTGTTTGCATATACATGTGTATGTAAGTAGGTCTATTCTGAGGCTTGAAAGGAGGTACTGTGCTCAGCGTCAAAATGTTGGTACAAAGAAAATATAAAGTTGTTTGTTTTAAAAAAGGAAACCAATGCCACAACGAGTAGGTAGACAGTAGTGACAAAAATAAGAATTTACCAGGTTCCTACCATACAGTGAAGAGGCTAAGTATGTCCAAGGTGGGCCAAGGCTTTGTTCTTCAGGACTTGTGTTTTCATAGCAAAAATTAACACAGGGTGGTCTTACTACATATTTATTCAGCAAACAGTTGTACGGTGCTTGGCCTGTTACCTGGCATGTGCTCTCTAACTCCCAATGTGCTTTATTTTATTATAACTCAGATACGACAGGGGTCTTATGTGGCCCAATTTCTGTGCATTCAAGAACCACCATTCAGAAACAAAAGCAATGGAAATCCTCACTTTTTTGTGAGAAAATATGAAAAGTGTCCAATTTATCACTCAGATCTTCACCTGCTGCTTCTTCTTCATCTCTCCCTCCATCTTCCATCCCTCACTGATCTCCTGGCCATGGTGAAGTTTTGTTCCCTTCCCCTCTCTCTCCTCTCCCTTATGTTCTTTATTTCCTGGGTGGAGAGTCTCAGCATTTCCAGGGCAAATTAATGTTCTTTGGTCTCTTTCTGTGCATTTTCTTGATTCTGTTCACAAAAGCATAGGAGCTAGATGGCAAAAGCAGGTGTCCCCTCAGGGACAGGGCAGGGCAGAGGGAACGCATGGGAGGTAAAAAATCAGAACTCACTTTAGTGGTGGGTAGAGGACACTCCCACATTAATAAATTTGCTCCTGCTCTGCTAGGATCCTTATTCACTGATGCTGATGCTTGTGTCCTGGCCTATGCCAGGGAAGGATGAGGCTTTCCCCTGCTTTGGTTATCTCTTATTCTCTTTCTACTCTCACCTGTGTGGTATTATTTGCAGCAAGTGTTAACAGTGTCCTTTGGGGAAAAACAATAATAGCTGCTACATAATAATCTGCAAAGTGCCTTCAAGTACCTGGACTTGTTGAAGCCTCTTCATGGCATGAATGTGGGTATTGTGCTTATTCATGCTCAGTGTCCCCTCTTCCCCTTCTCCCTCCCTTCCTTTTTCATTCCACCCCCTTCCTCCTCCCTCTCACTTCTTCCTATTCCCTATCTTCCCCTTCCCTCCTTCCGCCATCCCTCCCTGACTCTTCCACTTCCCCCTGTCTTCTCAGCAGGACTTGGGAGCGCCCACTGCGTCCACTCTCCAGAGAAGTCATTGTGCGCTGGTTTAAGGAGGAGCAGCTGCCTCGCCGAGCTGGCTTCGAGAGGAACACCAAGTCGATCGCTCCCTGGTTCCATGGTAGGGCCATTTTCTGGGCTTGAGAAAAGATGAGTGAATACACATCTGCCACTCTCTGGCTGGAGCATGGGTCATGAAGGGCAGCTATAACCAAGTCTTTAGGCTCTAGGATACCTCTGTTCTGGCCCCAGCAGCTCCAGCAGGAGTCTAGGAGCCTGGAGGCACCTGGGGGTGCTGGACCGCTATACCTGCTGGGAAGGGTGAACATGAGTCCTTTCTACTGCTGTCACCATGTGACCTCCTGGGCCATCAAGGCTCCTCTAAGGCATCTTCCCAATACTTACAAGGCAGTGAGTTCTCAGTGGGTACAGAGATCCTGGTGGGCAAGACCCACAGCTTTGTGTCTGAGCCTGTACCCTGGGATTCTGGCCACAGCCTAACACTGGAAACTCTGAAAAAAATCCATGTTGATTAGATGACAGATGGCTGGATAGAAAGGTTAGAATTGTCCAAACACAGAGGATTAGGTATTGAAAGTCATTCAATCCCTCCATTATTGATAAGAAACTGAGGCACAGAGAGAGGAAGAGGTTTTCATAAGGCATGCCAAGGAACTTGAAAGTCAAGTTCAAGAGTACATTTCACTGCTCATGACTCCACTCCAGTGATGTGCTTACGTAGTGACTTCAAGCAAAGAAACAGCACTGTGACTTCAGCAGACTGGCTACAGGGAAATAGGAGTGGTTACCAGCCACCAGTCCCCTCTGTATCAGTTAGTATTGCTGCAAAGCAAATTGCCCCAGAAGTCAGCAGCTTCAGGCAAATAAGCATTTATTGTTTTTTTTTCATGAATTTCTGGATCAGTGTGGCAGTTCTAGTTTGGGTTGGGCTCAGATGATCTTGGCTGAGCTTGCTCATGTGTCTCTGAGCAGCTAGAGGGCCAGATGGGGCTGGCTGATTCAGGACGGTCTCAGCTGGGATGTCTCCTCTTGGCTGCCTGTGGCCTCACCCTCTAGCAGCTGGGCAGAGACCATCTAGTTCCTCTGGGGAAGCTGAATCTTGACCTTGCTCTCTGAACCTTCCCTTCCTAGCCAGCATTGAGCTCAGGTTTGCCTGGGAGCTCCCCTGGATAGAAATGATCTCCCTGCTACCATTATCACCCATTTGACCCTTACCTGCCTGTTTCCTGTCTGCCAGTCTCCCGGGAGCTTGACTGGCCTCACCCTTGGCCTGCATTTCCCCTGCATTTATTCTGATGTTGTGAACTACCTCCTTGCTTCCTGGCGAGCTTCTGTCTCTTCTCAGTTCTCTCCAGATGGAGAGATGAGCCCAGAGTCATGATGTGCACTAGAGACTGGGGTATCTCCAGGGTTGACGGGCAGATGGCAGAAGGAGGCCCTCACAGGCAAGCTCTGGACGTGGCTTCTGGCTCCAGGAGAGGCAGCTGTGGCATTTAGAAGAAATCATGCCTGGGCGGGCATGGGTGAGCCATCTGCACCTTCATCCCCACCTCCAGGAGCCCAAAGCGCGTATGAACTATGAGGTGCAGGCAGCTGGCACTCTACAGACACACAGCTGAGATGCAGTGCTGAGAAGGACTGCTGAAGGTCACAAAAGTGGTGGCCACCCATCCAGGCTGTGGGGTGCCCTGTTGGTCTGTCTCTTTCACTGGGGGCCTCCACGATTTATCCTCCACATAACATCCTGAAAATCTTTTAAATATAATTTGTTCCTGTCACTCCCATGCCAGTACCCTCACTCCTACTTTTCTCCAAACATGCAGTGAAAACCAAACTCCATCCTGGGGCCCACATGTCCCCAGGTGACAGGTCCTACTCAATCTCCACATGCCAGAATTTTTTCTCAAAGCTCTGAACTTATTTTGTGCTCCTCAACTGAGTCATCTTCTTTCTGTCTCGGCCCTTTGCTCTTGTGATTTCTCTGCTTGAGTTAGTACTCTTTCCCCAGTTCTTTGCATGGCTGACACATCTTTATTTTTCCTCTGACCTGTCCCCTCCTCAGAGAGTTCTTTTCTGAGAACTCGTTACCTGAAGCAGTTTTCCTTAATTTGCCCTGCTTAGTTCCTTAAAGGCGTTCACCCCATTGTTATTTGTCTTATTTCTTGTTTTCTGTTCTCCTACCTGAATGTGAGTCTGTCAGGCTCAGGGCCTTGTCTGTTCCCCTAGTGCCTGGTATAGTAAGTATCCATGACGGGAATGGCTGAAGGTGGGAATGAAGCGTCGGAGCTGGGATTAGATCCCAGGTTTCCAATTCCAAAGAATAGCCCTTGCTTCTCTACATGGGGCCTGCTATGTGCATGAGTCCCCTCAGAGCCTAGGAACAATCAGAGCCACACATGCAAGGGTTGTCTTGCCTTCCCAGTTGTCCATGTGCTCCATGGGGACAGGCACCTCTGTCTTTACCCCTCCTCCTGCCTTCCACCTGCCTAGGGCTCAGGTGCAGAAACACACCTAAGGCAAACTCACCGTCTTCCTCTTGTGTCACTATTGTGGAGCTTTCCAGTACTGCTAATGGCATCACCATTGTATAGGTCTCAATGTGTAGGTCAGCTTGGTTGTACCTAAGTAACAGATGCACCCCAAATCTCAATGACTTCCATTAAATAAGTTTTTTTAATTGATTTTTATTTGTTTTAATTAGTTATACATGACAGTAGAATGCATTTATGTGCTTTGATATATCATACATAGATGGGATGTAATTTCTCATTTTTCTGAGTGTACATGTTGTAGAATCATATTGGTCATGTAGTCACATATATACATACAGTAATAATGTCTGTTTCATTCTACTACCTCTTCTATCCCCACAGCCCCCCTTCCCTCCCTTCACTTCCCTCTACCTAATCTAAGATAACACTATTCTTCTCTAGTGCCCCCACCCCCAGCCTTATTGTGATTAACATCCGCATATTAGAGAAAATATTCAGCTTTTGGTTTTTTGGGATTAGTTTATTTCGCTTAGCATGATATTCTCCAACTCCATCCATTTACTGGCGAATGCCATAATTTCACTCTTCTTTAAAGCTGAGTAATATTCCATTGAGTAGATATACCACATTTTCTTTATCCGTTCATCTATTGAAGGACACCTAGGTTGGCTCCATAGTTTAGCTATTGTGAATTGAGCTGCTATAAACATTGACATGCCTGCATTACTGAAGCATGCTGACTTTAAGTCCTTTGGGTATAAACTGAGGAGTGGGATAGTTGGATCAAATGGTGGTTCCATTTCAAGTTTTCTGAGGAATCTCCATACTGCTTTCCATAGTGGTTGCACCAATTTGCAGTCCAACCACAAATAAGGTTTATTTCTTACCGATGTCTCATGCCCATCAGGGGTTGATTTCTTTTAAAATTTTTTTCTTAGTTGTCGATAGACCTTTATTTTATTTATTTATACATGGTGCTGAGAATTGAACCCAGTGCCTCACACATGCCAGGCAAATGCACTACTGCTGAGCCACAGTCCCAGGCCCAGGGGTTGATTTTAGACTTTAATCTGGGCCTCAAACCAAGGGAGCCACCTCCGTTGGAAACTCTGATAGCTTCATGTTAAATTAGAAGAAAAAAAAAAAAAGACTTGGTGAGCCATACGGTGACCCTAGAGCTTCTACCTGAAACTGATACCTGCCGTTACTGCACACATTTCATTAGCCAGAACCAGCCTGGCTTCCACAGTGTGGTAGAGTATGACAGTAGCATCTATTAAGTGATTCCTTATGGCTCAGAGAGAAGGTGGTCAATATAAGTGACTGAGATATGTGCCCCTGGAGTTGGTCCCAGGGATTCCCTGCCCCTCACTTCTGTCACATCATGTGTTCCTGAAGCCCCCATGGAGACTCCATTTGAATCACCGCTTTCCTCTTAACTCACACACTATTATTGCCATGGGAGCAGAGCACAGCACCTCAGATGCCTGCAGAGTGCAACTCAAACCTTCTGTGGAAGTAGGGGATTGACAGCTGCACTGATTGCTCAGCGAGGCTGGTGGTGGCCAATGGAGAAGGCGCAGTGGAGGTGCTCAAATTTGTCTTTAGCTTTTTTTCTACCTTGATGGAGAAAAAGCTAATTTTATGTTGTCATAGAACAAACAGAACCAAGATTTAAATCACAATTTATGTAACTGATTTCATGTTCTCCCTTTTTCCTACATAAAACATTCTGGAAATTTGCTCATACAGGGAAGGGAGCTGTTTAGTGACCAAATCTTCATTGATCTGTGACAGAATGAAAGAAAAAAGGCTCACATATGGAGGATGGCCAAGAGTCTTTGCTTAGAAACGACTGTGCTGTATTCTAAGATTGTCTCTTTTCTTCAGTTTTAGTGTTAAAACATCCGATCTTTTATGAATTGATGGTGGTAGTAAACAGTAGTTATTTTTATATATTGTCCTTGGAAGAGCAAAAGCCTGGGAACAGTTATCAGTATGTTCCAACCACCCTCCCAATGTAGGAATTCACTGTCGGAGGAGATTGGGCTCCTTCTGTATTAATCCTTCAGAGACTGGGAACTCACTACTCCTCAGGCAGACTGCACCAGGCAAATTTTTATTTTTTTTTTAAATTGATTTTTTTAAAAATATATTTTTTTAGTTGTTGATAGATCTTTATTTTATTTATTTATATGTGGTGCCGAGAATCAAATCCAGTCCTCACACATGCCAGGCAAGTGCACTACTCCTGAGCCACAGCCCCAGTTCAGGGAGTTTTTACTGCAGGTTGACAGGGTTTTTACTCTCCCTTGGGCGTGTCTAGGCATCTTTGCTGGGGAGGCTCTGCTCCATGTATCTCTCAAGCTCCTCCTGGGGCCCCTGGGCTGGATCAGGCATGCTCTACTCCTGGTAATAGTCTAGATACCAGCGAGCAATTCGCAGCACGTCAGTCAATCTTAAAGTCTAGTCTTAGCAGCAGCACACTGTCACTTCTGCCTCATGCTGTTGGCCACAATATGTCACAGAGTTGAGAGGCAGGAAAATATATTTTGTCTTTCTCTTGTGAGGAACTTCGAAGTCATATGTCAAAGGATGTGGAGACAGG